AGAGAGAGAGAGAGAGAGAGAGAGAGAGAGAGAGAGAGAGAGAGAGAGAGAGAGACGAAAGGGAGATATGGTAACGGTAATGTATGCAATTGGACCGGTGGCGTGCACGATGGACGGTTGTTGGTCGGTTATGGGATGGTGGTCGCCGACGGTGATTCCAGGGCGCGAGGGTTGCAGGGAACGGGGTAGCCGTCGCATACAATCGTAGAATCCCGCGCAACCGTGTCGGGTATTATATGGTGTTTAGTTTGCCACGGCGCGCCGTGGTTTAACTCTCTCTCTCTCTCTTACTCATGATCGCGTCGAATTAACTGAACCGCGCCGCGAGTTGTAGCCCGGTGCGGCGTTAATCCGCGCGCGCAGGGGAGTGCGGGTGGGTGCACGAGACATCACACGAGTTCCAGCGGAACGATGGAAAACCGAGAACGGACGAAAACGAGACTCGCTATCGACTGCGGAACAACGGGTTCGCGAAGACGGATTTATTTTGCGAGTTGGCGGGCGATAACGCTCGGAAACGTTACTCCGGAGGATTCTGCGTGTCGTCGGATTAAACAAGTCTCGCGTCGTCTTGACGACGCGACCCCAGCTCGATCCATTCGCGGCTTATCCAAACGCATCCGTTCGGAACGTGAGTGCGTGACCTCGGAGAGGTCTTGACACTCTGGGTCCTTGTAATTACTGGTCTTTGAAAGTTTAAGCGGTTTCCTACTGACGCGCAGTGGAACCACCTGACGAACGGTTCGGCGGTGAGGAGAAGAGCGCGCGAACAGAGAGGGCAAACGAAACGTTTATCACAGTCATTCCGTTCGGCAATACGAACTTCCGAGTAGTCTTGCTCGTTTCCACACGCTCTCCTGCCGAAACTACCGTCGTTTCCGCTCGTCATCGTTTCAATCGAGCATTTGAATTCGGAATTATGCCGACCTCAAAATAACGAGTTTTCGGAAGAAAGCCCTTAATACTCTTAATTGGACGCGCGAGACTGGCAACGTTCTGCGGTTGCGGTTCATTTTGCGAAAAGGGTATTAAATCGCAATTTCGCTTGAGTAATTTTCGCAATACGCGCTCCCAAGGAAAATGCCAGTGCAAGATAAATGCACTTGTTGAATTAAAGTGTAAATTAACCGTCATTCAATTGTGTAGAAAGAGCGAGGCGGAGCGGAAGAGTCATTATGACGACAGGAAGACACTTGTTCGTTAATAGTTGCATTAAAATTCATTGTGTCAGAATTCACAGACTATCGCTGAGTTTGTTGAGAACGTCAGACACGCAAAGTCAGAAATTACCAGCTCGTAAGGATGAGCCGCGAACAATTACACCGCGCCGTTGTAATCCTCATTTGCATGCATGTGTTTGCGAGAAAGGCTGCTTCGCCAACACGGCCACTAAAGGGTGGTCTACAGTGTGCTCGCAGTTGTGTTTTAAGGTCATAGCATTAGTCTGCGAATCGATCTGTTTCCAGCGAACAGATATCTGTTTTTTTCGCGTAAATCCGTAAAGAATGAAAAGTTTTGACGAGTTCAATAAGACTTTTCATTTTTCACAAGTTTATGCGGAGGAAATAGATGCATGATTGATTCATAGATTAGTACTATGACTTGAAGAGACAATTGCCACCGCATAGATGGTCTTTAACATCGCCACCGAACTTAAACTTGTAATTATAATTGAGCGATATATATTTTACTGATCAGCGTGTGGCTTCTTGGCGCGCAATTCTCCTCTTTATCCGGCATTAATTATATTAATATAATCTCGGGTTGGGTTTGGTTAGTTCGAAGCATAAAAGCAAGACTCACCTTTTGAAGATTGAGAGTAAGCATGAGGTACTTCCTATCGGCGGATAATTGATGATCGTAACTCGACAGCAAAACCTGCAAAACAGTCAGATAACGAGTCGTTAATAAACGAACGTCGCTACGTTGCAACGTAATTGCGGAGCGTGATTCAATGAAGCATCGCGAATGTACAATGAACAATTCTCTGGGGGACGCCGAAAAGCGCATGCATCGTCAGTTACCGTTGTAAAAAACGGCATATTCCGTAAATTCCAGTTTAGTGAAATCTGACGAATTTTTCTCGAATGTAGGGTAGTTTACGAGCATTTCGATACGTGGGAGATTCCAGCAGTTTTATAATTTAACAGCAATATACAACTATGTTTAAATATTTAGAATTTCAATATTACGTCTTGACGCACACATTTATTATCGTTATTATCCTGCAAATTATATAATGCAAATCTGCATATTTATATAAAATAGAATATCTGTGTGTATGTTAACTCCTGTTCCTACGTTAACTCCTAAACCGATCTGGACCAAATTTGCATAGTTACTCTCTAGGAACCTACGGCTCTCTAGGAAACTATAGACTACATGGACATCCCACACCTCTTTTCCCTGATTTCATCATTTCCCTTGACACTTCGTGACAATTTTAGTTTAGATATTCTAAATACATATATATATTCTAGATACATATATTATGTACGGTGTCTCATTTTTAAACAGGCTAGACCATATTTCGGAGCCCGACAGACAAAAATGTTCCAAATAAAATTTATGAAGTTTTGAGAAGGAAAACAGACGGTGAGAGAGAGGAGAGAGAAAAAGAGACAAAGAGATATCCTAAATTTTTAATTCGGCCATTACACAAGGCCATATGGAGATTAGTTTTGTTTTTTAAACGGAAAGTGGTATTTTTTATAGCAGATTCTAAAATCGCTTCATTTTGCATAGAAAACCCCTGAAACATGTATAATCCAAGTCCAATAGTTTTGGAGTTATTTAGCAATGGAAAACGCAACTTTGCCAATTTCTACCAACAATGATGCACGCGCGAATTTATGTGCGCGTGTTCGAGATTTTTGACTGGCCTGTTTAAAAACGGGACATCCCGTATAAATAAAGAGCCCGGGCAACGTCGGATAGTTTAAACTACTAAATTATATATTAAAAGTAATTATATAATAATTATACAGTAATTAGCTAGTAATTATATATTGCATTATGCAAATAAATCTCTAACAACCTAATTAATTGAGGAAATTGGTGGAGCCTCGTCAACGCTCAAAAGTCTCGTCGCAATACTATAGCGTAACCTGCTCCCTCGATGAGTATAAAAACACGATGTAGAAACAAAAACACGCGTTAATTAGTAATAGCAGCAGCAGCAGCAGGATACTGCTAGTGATCTGGGTGATCTCGCATGCAAAGCCGCGACGGTCGTGCCGGCGACGAGGCGCAAATCGCGTCCGCTCGAATGGAACTTGTCGCTTATTGCGCTTATAAAACGAGTCGTTAGAACAGCACGAACTCAGATGGACTGGAAACAGCGAGGCCGCGGCATTGAAAGCGGCTTTATGCACTGTCGCGACGAGCCGGGACGGTTTGTCGAAATCACGGACGGCTAAATTACGATCACGCGCGAGTGCGCGACATGGACCACGCCGCTGAATGAACTACGGCGACGCTCTAATGGGATGAACATCGTTAAGCGGAGTCGCGAGTTCGAACGAGACACTCGTGCCGAGTTGGTCGGTCGGACCGGCGATCGTTCCAGTTAACCAAGTCATCGCAAGCATAATACGGTAACCGGCAGCGGTAGCGGCCAACAACTGCCATTATTACTTTAATGCAACAAGTTTATTCGCGCGGCAGAGTGGCCGACGGAACGTGCTCCCCGCGCGCTTTGGTTTCGCTATTGCTTTCGCGGCGACACCGTTGGTCGCCTCTTTTCGCGTTTTCCCTCGATTTTCGCCAAGGGGCGTAGTATTTATCGGGGGTCAAGTCGTAAATACAAATCTCGTTTCTACCTATCTCTCTTTCTCTTTTTACCTCTCATTCGCTCCTCTCTTTCCCACGCTTTCAATTTATTCCCGCATGAAATATTTTACGATGGAGAACCTCTCTCTCTCTCTCTTTCTCTCTCTCTCTGCGAACGCCGCGGGATAATTCGGTTCGGACGTGTTCATTAATTTTTCAAAATCGTATATCGCGCGCGTAACGAAGTCGCATTAAGTGCGTGGAGTGCGTTCCCGAGGCGCCGCGAGTCATTAATCGTGAATCTCACACTATCAGCGGCCACCTTTTCTACTATCCTCGACGGACATGGAAAAAAGCGAGCGCGAAACAGAAAAAAAAGGGAAAACTGAATTTTGTCGTCAGGTACGATATTGGCGTGAAAACAAAGTGACCGTGACAGTTTTATAATGTTACGTGGCGCAAAGTTATGATTCTATTAGCAACTTTTTAAACTAATTTCAAAGTATTCCACTGGGACAGCTTGACACGTACGTAATAAACTTATCGCTCTTCAACGTATGAAATTTTTATACGGTAGATGTTTTTTTATACACGCGCTGTGGAAATGGAGTACGGATACAAAGTAACGCGCGCAATCCTGCACGATTCATCGAATTTTCGCCACTTTGCACCAGCTCTCGTTCCATGCTAAATATGACGCGCTGTGCATTTGCGATCTTCCCTATTTACGTGCGCGATATCAACTGAAGAACAGAATAACGTGTTACCTCGTGGCTCTGCTGAAATTACGCGTTCCCAGCGCCATGTACTCGCGTATAATGGGTTTCTTTCTGCTCGCTCAGCGAGCGCACTTTCGTGAAATTCCTCTGGAAATCTTAGTAACGCGTAGAATATCGCCAACAATATATATAGAGAGAGAAAGAGAGAGAGAGAGAGAGAGAGAGAGAGAGAGAGAGAGAGAGA